CAGGAATTTCCATCTCATATAAGTATGTCTGGTACAAAGAAATATACAAATAGATAAGACAGTGAAGACTGCCATGCTGACATCACTTTGTGCCTACTTTGTGCCTACTTAGTGCACAGTAAAAGACATATAGTGTAATAATTCTCTTACAAAATATTTAATTATCTTCCAAACTTGCATTTTTAGGATACATCAGTTTTATCACACCCTTTGGACAACCCCATCAACAGATCCTTTTACAAACATATATAATTACCAACAACTCACTGTCGCGCTACAGCCTCATATAACTTGGGCAGTTCTGCTTCCAGTCGGACAACTCGTACTCTGGACTGAAGGTGCCATTTTGAAGCATCTAATGCTACTGATGAACCCTCCGGATTATTAGTTGTGTAGGTGGTTAGGTATGAAATAAGCTCTTGTGAACCATCTTGGTCCAGATCTGCAATTAACACTGCGCAGAAAGAAACAGTAAATGAGTTATAAAGCAAATTATCATGGTATTTTTAGAAAAACATCATGACTGATTGTTATGGCAAAATATGGTCAAATTAATGATATTAAAGTATAGGTGCTAACTGAATTAATTTTAGTTTAAAAATTGAAGATGCCAAATAACCAGCCACTGAGGAAGTCAAGGACAAGAAGAAAAAAACAAATCCTCATCACTGATTTCAGAACTAATATAAACATGAAGGCAACATGGCTCCTACTGGGAATCAAACCACAATCATTATGCCTGTAACCTTTAAATACATTCAAAAAAAGATATTACGGATACTTTATGGCCACATTCAAGAGAATGATATAAGGAGGAAGAGACATAACCACGAGCTTTACAACTTGTATAATGATGTTGAAATCTCCAACAACGCCACCACTTCCAGAATGAAGTGGGCAGGATATGTGCTCAGAATGAATGATGAAGAGCCCACAAAGAAATTGATGCTAGGAAAACCTGATGGTACAAGAAAACATGGAAGACCCAAGTTGCAACGCATTCACGGCCATGAAAAAGATTTCCACATCAGTATTGAGTGGAAAAACATCGCCATCGACTGTTCCTGATCTAGGCATTGTCTTGAGCAGGCCAAGACCCAAACTGGGTTGTAGTGCCCATAATGATGATACAATTCCTTTGTACTGTTAAGGAGTTAAATCAGGCAGGTTACAGCAGACTGGGTATGCAATCCATATGGGAGAAACAATAAAAGCATATATACCTATTTTACCTAGACTGAACTGGCTCAAAATCATGTCTCATTGAAAATCTCTATCACAGGAGATGAAACTTTGGAATCTATACCTGAAGACTATTATTTTACATCACTAAATTGTAGAGGAATTAAAAAATCCAACTGACAACTGAAAGAAACAGATCACTACAAACCTTCTAGAATATTAGGTTTTCATGGTGGTGAGTCTGAAGGTGGCTGTCTTCTGGGTTGCAGCGATGTGTGGTCTGGTCGTTTCAGAGGTCCTTGCTGCCTCCATCATCGGGGCCAGACTACATGGCACAAGAACCCAGAAGACAGCCATCTTCTTACTACAAACATTACATTTTATCCCATAAAATGTGAAAGCACCATATAAGTTCACTCTAATGTTAAAAATTCTGTCTACAGTAGTAAGAAAAATAATTTCACATACATGACTGCTCTTGGAAGCTTAGGTCTGGCTGGCAAAACTGATCCTCTTCTGATGGACCATGACGAAAGCAGAGTTGTGTGACATCATTCAGACTAGCATTCACAATGTGGTTATCAGTAGCATTGAATGTATACAGTACCACGCGTTCCTTCAGTTGATGAAAATCCACTTGGATGTCACTCCCATTCCTGACACTCTGCTTCAGAGGTGTGATGACACTACGGATGAATCTCTCTCCCCCAAGATGCCTGTATCTCACTGATCTCTTCAAACGATATCGGAACAGAGGATTGCTGGACATTGTGCTCATGGTATCACTTTGTTTCAGCATGGATGAAGGCATATGACTGTTAGTAGAGGTCCATGTCCAAAATTTCAACACAAACCCACTGACTGGCTCAACTAGAGCTCCAGAAGTTGAAGTTCCAGAGTGGTTATTAAAGACAAGTACAGCAGGTACCATACCATAAGTGTTGTCATGCTGGAAATTCCATACAGTCTCATTGTCACGTCGTTCATCAGTTACTTTAACTGTAACATTACAGTGGTTTGGACAGTGCCCTTCATTCATAAGAGTCAGCCAACGGCCATTTACTTTCTTGACAGTCGATGATACACCCATGACTTGATATTGTCTAAGTGGAGGACTCTGCAGGTAGGTAGACACATTCAGCTGCTTGTGTGTGGCATTTGCATATAGCTCTTGCACTGATATTATTCCAGTGGATGCTGCAGAATAAATATCAGTTTCATTTACATTTACTATCTTACATGGAAAAAATTAACCACAGTATCCACATTAAGCAAGGCCTGTTGATTTTTACATTCTTTTCATAAAAATGGACAAAATTATGAAGGTCCTCTGAATCCTCTACACCATCCATTCGTGTCCCATACCATAGGTCACATGGTGATAAATCTGAGTCACTGATAAATAATGAAATGGAAAGGATCTAGAAGTTACCAAAAGCCTATTTTAAGATACTATCTCAGAATTTCTTGATTTACAGAAATCTCAGGTCTCTAGGCTACAACTCGCCTTCTAAATAAGAAGCAAGTATGCTAACTTCAAAACTTGCAATATTTGAAACCAAACTCTTTTCTAGTTAGCATAATTCAAAGTGAAGTCTTCAGGCTTAAATTGCAGTTTCTTCTGTTATTGGGTGATGACAGTATGTTGTGTGGGCTGCCATAATTATGGGGAACTTGGTTCTAACTTTAAATCAAAGTGACCAACAGCCTGATGCTGGCATTTATAGCTATGAGCTGGAAGGCAGCAGAGAATTCTATGTCCCCTTTGAAAGAAGACTGGGTCTGAAAATAACCTATATTTCAGAAAATAACCTATATTTCAGTTTATTCCCGTTTTAGCCACACATACAGCTCTAAGAATGCCTCGTAGCCCAGAGCTATAAATAGCAATACCAGGCTGTAGTTTATTCATCCTGTCTTGAAGATGGAGAAAGCTAGATTCCCAAAAATGATCAGAAATCAGCACACTAAAAAATGTCAGTGCCAGAGAATGTATTGTCAATGTGCTCTGATGCTAACTAAAAATCTCAATATGGCATTCAAATACAATTACACATTTCCTTGCCTTCTTTATTTGCCTCCTGGCATGTGTATACGATGTTCCACTTCTCATCCACAGAGAAATCTTGGATATGGGCACATGAGGACAAATTAACAGCTTCTCCTATAATCCTACCCATCTTGCCAGAAATGATAATAAAGTTGTTACGATCAGATAAAGTGGCAGGCCTCTCAGAAGTGTCATTGAAACTGCATGCTGTGACCAGTTCTCTCACACCATCTCCATCCAGGTCAGGTAGGACAATGGGAAATTCCAAATCAACTGCACTTCTGTTACTGTTCTGATGATTATGGAGGTACCATACTATATTGCCTGGAATAAATTAAATAGAATGTGCAAATGAGCCACTGCAACTGTGTAAAGATGGGTTTTATATAAGCAGGAGGACTGTCTGTAATTGGATGTAACCAAGTGACCATCAGGTAGATGACAGGGTGACTGTATAAAAGGGGTTTTTATATAAGCATGAGGACTGTCTGTAATTGGATGTAACCAAGTGGCCATCAGGTAGATGACAGGGTGACTGCTACACAATGTTTTGAATGGCCACACTTGGTAATATCCTAATTTTCCCCCATTATTGTTAAATCTGAAGTATGGGGGATCATGTATACATTTTTGTAACAGGTTCTTTGTGCTATGTAAAAAAATCATCATACTTTGGGGACATTTATTTCTCTATTATATATGCATTCTTTTAGTGCAGACATCAATGGGAACTTCTATTAAAGAGGCAGACTTAAAACAAGTTCTTGTGCTATCAATGACAAAAACTCAACAATGTTCCAAGCAGTTACAAATGTCAGTGATGGTACAGCATCAGCTTGAAAAATTAATTAAGAACGATGTGGAAGTGATAAAACCATTCCAGCATTTGTTTGAAATAACTGAAGAAAATCATATAACAGATATGAGGCATGCCAAATGTGTGTGTTAAAGACTTAACAGTAACTGTAATTTTCATGTTTTAACAAATAACTGAATTTAATTTATTTCTTCTGAAGTCACTCCCTATTTTCATAGAGTGTATCAGCAACACAAAACTGAACAATTTCATTCATACACATATGTAGGCTACAAGGTGAAAGAATACACTACAGTAAATAAAATAAGAACACTTGTAAATTAATTAAATTTAGCATACCTGGTATAGGATCAACAGCTGCCAGTAGCTTGCCAGTTCCAACCACAATACAATCCTCTGCTCCATCTCCTGTGACATCAATAAGTGAGCAATCCATGGTATGAAGAGTTCTGAGAAAGCGAATGTACCATGCAACCTCGCCTGTAGATCCAATCAATGATACAAGTCCTCCTCTACTTGCAGGAAAGTCCCTCAAGTTCTGATCTGTTTGAGCTGCATTGATAATATCACCTTGTGCAAGGAACACTAAGTTGCGGCCTCGACCTGGGACTCCAGCCACAACACTAATTCCTCCCTTAAGTTCTGTGAAATAATCATATGCTCTACATTCATTCATTCATTCATTCACTCACATTAAGGGGACCGATTCATCTGAATCTCAGTCCACCATGTAAGGTATATTACACAAGCTTACAACTGTAATATGTGATTATAGCAAAGAATACGTATCCAGTTTATTTCTTGGTGAGATCTGAGGTTCTCGCAGCTGCCAGTATGAACATGAGTTTTCTGGGATGTTACACCATATAGTCTGGTATGGACTGACCAACATTTTAGAGGTACTTACTGCCTCCATCATTTGGGCACCCTGATAATGAAAACAGTACACTCCTTTGAAACTGGTGTGTTAAATACATTTTGGAATAATCTTTAAAAAGTTTACTTAAAAAAACTCTGAAAAGTTTGTCAAATATTACCTGACTGAAACAATTATAACAAGAAAGGCTATCTTCTAGACCAGTACCTACCTGAATACATGTTATGATCCTTTTGATCAGTTAACATTTAACAAACTTTCTGGAGGGAGTTCTTTGTTATTATCACTGAACATAATGAAGTTTATTAATAAAAAAATCACTTAGTTAATCTTTATTACCACATTCATCCTATAATTTCAAGTTATTAAAAATGTTCTGTTACTATCATGTCCTTGCACTACAAAGTCACAATGAGCTAAATCATGGGACACCTTAAACCCATTGGCTCTTTAATTTTACTCTAGAATATTCTATCAGGAAAGTAAGAGCATCATCAGGATCAAACTGAATAGCCTAAACTGATTATTTGTAGAGTAGAGAGTATATTGTAATAATTTTCATATTTTATGTTAACACATAAATGTCAGACATGGCAGTCTCAAATTTTCAAGAATGAATCAAGAAAAAGATCTGTCTTAATTCAAATGTCAATTTGTTGCTTTAGCTTTGCACAGTAACATGCAAATTACCTGATCCATCAGAATCATTATGTTTGGCACTGTTAGCATGAACAAATTGTCTATAAAATGTCTCTCTTTCAGCATCTTTCTCTGTACACCTATACAATTCTTTCTATACAGTGTTTGGACTTCATCACTTCAACCACCAACTCATTCTGGTGCTCACAAACATAAGAGACTGAATATAATTTTCTACCCCACAGTTACATTCCTACATTTCCATATGGCTTTATTTCTTGTGGTACATAACAGTGCAAACTACCAGCATCTTTTATCACAGGAAACAAAAATGAAAAAATGATGCAAGAGAACACAATTTTTAAGGGTAAATGTCTTGGAAAATTACTACTAGCAGCACTAAGGGGACTACAACAGTAGTGATCCTGTTCTATTACCAAAGAGTTAGTTTGTTTCTTATGATACTTTGTGTCATTGCAAATCAGTTATTAGAAATTATAATGTTAGGAAAAGTATCACTTACAGAATACATAATCTCACCTAAACCTCTCAAAGTTCTCTCCCATGATTTGGTTCCTGACTTGAGAGGCACTGATGGACAGGTTGCACAGTCACAAGGCAGAACCCACAGGAACACAACAATAGTCAGACCACAGAGAAGAATTGAAAGAATGAAGCTAACTTTACGTAATGGGGACATTGGCTCCATGTGGTGTGGTAATGATCCATCAGGCTTAATGACTGAAATATCATCACCAACAGTCGACTCATGATTCAGCATACCATTTGTGGAGACGTCACCCTCACCATCATGCCCCAGTGGTCGATATTCACCCATCTTCTTACCTAAAAAATGTACATTATGAATTCTAACTTATTACTGATGTTACTATTTTTCATGAATGAGCATAATACAAAATACACCCACCAGTGCAGAATTAAATACACACTCATTATGATAAAAAGTTATAAATGGTAGGTAAATGACACCTTCACTATACAAAAATCAGTTTGATGTTTATGGGTGTTTTTGCATGTGCTTACAGATTGAGATATATAAATAGGCAAAAATCTTAGCAAAAACATTGGAATTGTGTAATATGTAATACAGTTGATATTTCTTACTGCTGTTCTCTTGAAAAAAATTAGTTATGATTGATACATTTTATGAAAAAATGTTTTAGACTTATTCTACAGAGTACTATAGTCGTGTTTAAGAACATGTGTTTGTGTTTTATCTTTATAAAGATTTACATTTGTAATTTAGACAGTTTTGTTAATTTTTTGTGTTAAAATGTAAACAGCCACATTTAGAAAGGTGAGAATTGTCCACTCCAGAGTCTTGCCATACTGCTGGAAAATAACACCAGTGCACTGCACTGAAACAAGTAACAGTGAGAAAGGATGATAAGACTATGCTGTGGAAAGGATGGTAAATAAAAACAGAGATAAACGCATAATAAAAGAAGCAAAAATGGTACAAAGAAAATTATTTTCTGTAAATTTCAACAGGCTTTTTACAGTAAATTACAAAGAATGAATAATGGTTTTTTTCCAAAAAGCATATCAAAATGCAACACAATATTAGGAAAGTCTCTTTTTTTTAAAGGACAATAAAGGGATCTGAATGGGCTTCTGGCCAATCACAGAAAAAATGAATGAATCCTCTGTCATACAGTGAAACAGAAACATATACTTAATGTTATTTTTCATACTTCCATCACCTAATGCAAATAATTTGTTTCTAAGATTTAACACACCTTTCTCTTGCAAATCTATTTCTCATAAAAGTGAATGGAATCATTCCACAGACAACAGCAAGATAAAAGAAAACATACATATTGTAAAAGTAATTTCATTATTTAACCAATTAATTTGTTAAAATTCATGCTGTTAAGTTGTACTGCAAACATATCAATGTGGACATACATCCATATTTATTTATAAATATATTATTTATAATGAAAATCACATACTGTTATATTTATCTATTGAGTCTTTATTGATTACAACAAATTTCCTGTTCTCATTGTGATGAATGATGTTATTGAGCTCCTCTTCTGTAGAATCTGTATCACTAGTTGACTGCGGAAGTGGAGAGTAAACCGCTCCCTGCCCCACTCCTCCTCCTGACATTTAAGTTCAATCTACAAATAAAATATATGCCTGTACTTGTGCCATTGCTCTGAATAAGTTTGAAAGCATTTTTTAATCTTTAACTGTAGAATTCTACTTTTATGTATTTACATAAGGTCAGTAGCTTAGACTATCAGATAAGCATCAGATAATAGGATGACTGACTTAATTTAAAAAACTACTATGGCATTTTGTGAAGAAGGACTAAGGAAAACAATAAAACATTTCTGTCAGGATAGCTTGCCTCTGGGCTGATCTGGACTCAACACTTCCCAAATAGGAAACAGAATTGCTAAAATTTTACATGTATTGGTATAAAATAACATATTCAATAAATACTTAATGTATAAATTCAACAAAATTTAAGAAGTCTTGGATACCTAACAAAAACAGGGTTTAATTTATCCATTACATAGTGATTTCATGCTTACAATAACTGTCAGTTGATCACCATGAAGAATGAAATTAGCAATAGTTCCCTTCTTTCCATAGTAGCACTCTTGTGATCAGTGAAGTATTTGTGTGTTAACACGTCCCTACTGACTCCTTGAGCTTACAATCAATTCTTGAGACATTCTACACTGGCGATAAAAACACAAGTAATTAATAATACAAATTCTTCTGATTTAGTTCTTACAATTTAATACACTTTCACGAAGCCTAGGTGCTATTCAAATCATTACTTATGCATACTTATACTTACCTCAAATTCCATCTTGTAGGTCTACAAATAAAACATAATACAAATTATAGTTCTTTTTAGCATTTCACACACATACATGCACCGCCAAAAACATTTCTAAAACATAAGTGAGGTTCTACACCAAAATTGTAAATGCAAGTTATTCACACCACTCTTCAACTTCCCTTCTTGACTTTATCAAAAGTAACCCCTTGAATTTTTCATTTGTTCTCTTCCTTTGGTTTTAAACCATAAAATGGTTTCATTGTTACTGTACTTTGCTTTACTTTCGATCTTGGAACTGATACTGAATTGGTAATCCTACTACTTGGGATTACTGGCAAGTGTATCACAGTTTATAGAAAAGAGATATTTTAATATGTGTTCTTTGTCTTAAATGTTATTGGTACTTTAAACTTCTCCACAACCTGAAATATTCTACGCACCTAGTACAAACATAATACAAGCACCGTGGTGTGGTCATGCGCTTGAAATGACGTAATCGATTTCATTGGAATCGTTACTATAGTTTAGCTATTTGGTTTGAAGTCATTGACGTTAGGATATTATCAAAAAAGGTGTTTGTCAAACAATTAAATATTTGTATTTTAGCACCATTATTTATTTTGCAACAGAAGTATTCAAGAACAAGACTTACATATTGTTCTATACCAACCCATGAAGTTTAATGACAATGATTGCCAAGACCTGAAATTATTGGTAACACTCGTAAAGGAAATTGTACGTAATGTCCATTGTAAAGGTTAAATATGGATAAACTAACTTTAATTTCTGGAACACTCTTCATGGCAGCAGATGTTTTTGCTATCGTCAGTTTAGCAATGCCAGATTGGATAATTACAGATGTTGGAGGTAAATGCTGTTATAATATAAACGATGTTTGATATACGTATGTGCAAAGTTGGATGTTGTTTCACGGATTAATAAAGTGCAAACCACTTTTACTGTGAAAAAAATCAACATTGTGATTTTTGACTTGCTATTATACGTGCAAATATGTTCTGTTAAAACGAGGTGTGAAATTTGGTTATGTATTAACATGAATTTCTTCTGTAGGAGACACTCGCCTGGGATTAATGTGGACCTGCATGACTCTGTATAACCGGCCACAAATATGTTTTGCTCCAGATCTACAACCAGAGTGGCTTCTGGCTCTTGTTTCTATATTTGTTGGTTGCATTTGTATTACTACTACGATCATTCTCTTGGCTTCATCACATTGGGACAGAAATGTTGTACCATATGCCCGATGGGTTGGCTTTACAGCAAGTGAGTAAACAAGTTGATATGAGGCAAAAGATCATTTGAACTAATAGATTCTGTAAATAAAATGATATAATGGTTACTGGTTTCATTTCCCACCCCAGTATTCCATTTCATTTATATGTTTCAGGAACTTGACATACAAAAAAGAGATCACTACTTTCATTGCATACATCCAAATTACTGGCCAGTCGTACAAAATCTTAACATATCTTATTTTAATTTAAAAAATTGCATAAAATGAAATTAACCAAATCTAACCATGCTAAGAACATAATATATCACCTCTGAATGTTTAATGTAGAATGACAGAAGCCAAAAAGTTACTCATGAAGCCCATAACCAGAATTTTAGAATTGTTAGAATTAGTTACTTAAAATTACATTCTGAAATATTTCTTCCAGTGGTATTATTCTGCCTTGCTGCAGTCATCTTTCCAATGGGTTTCCATGTTGATGAAATTGGTGGACAACCTTACCAACTACCAAACAGCCATCAAGTTGGAGTTTCATATATTTTATTTGTACTCGCATTGTGGATAACTGTAATCTCAGAACTTTTTGCAGGAAAAGTTTGTCTCCCTCACTTTTAACTTACTAACATCATTGTTCAGTCTTCAAACTGCCAGGTCTACTCCAGTATACTGTGCTGTTCTATAAAATTGAATATAAGAAAGGCCTGTAGCCAAAATAATAAACAAATGGGTTTTAAAATAAAACATAGTGCATTATTTTATCATCTTGCAATAGAAAATGCCCTCTGAAGCATTAAGACATATTATGTCATGACAGGACTAGCTGAGCATGCCTAACCAGCTCAACTGTACTTTAAGGGTCCAAATTCCCAACAGAAAAAAAATCCAGATGTATGTATCATTTCTAAGGACTGTCTGGGAGAGATGAAGCTATGGCCCTGATCTGGAAATTGAAGGGAGACTACTAAGAGCACAAGAACCACACCACTTCGCTTACAGCTAGAGGCCATGGCGAGTCATTACATGGGAGATATAACATTTCCTTGTGCCAAATGAACAGCCCTCTTTGTTTAATTTTTACTGTTCTCATCATTCATCAGAAATCTGAGCAAACCCACTGCATTCTTAACAGAAGCTACTCTCCTCTGATTCACACATTTAACAAGAATGGGTGTGTCTAAGATGGGACTGTCTGTGTCACCAGCTTTAGATAATTTCCATTATGTTAGTGGAGTGTGAGCCATGCCTCATGGCTCGAAGTGGCCTATCTCCCCTCTCGACGTTCTTTGGAGTTGCTGGCTTCAAGGCCCTGATGGGACAGCAGGGCAGTCAGTCTGTGTGTGTGTCTGCCGGGCAGAGAACGAGTCGAAGAGGGAGAGCTTGGAGACAGATAGGTCTTATTTCTTTGGTTGACGTAGCTAGTCGTAACCCCGGCCGAAGCCTGAGCCTTGGAAGTTTGTTCTCCTTTCAATTTATATATATATTTTTTTAAATACATGTTGGTAATTTGGGAGTACTTTTATTTGTATTTGGGTTAACCCTTGTGATAATCCTGTGCCGTACCACCTCCCGGCCTCTGGGATAATTTGGTTATAGTCACGAGAGCCGGTAGGGTTCAAGTGTTGATTAGTTTAATTGGCTGTCTTGGCAATTTCTTCTTTACGTTAGATTGTGGTGTTCCTTGCAGACGTTCTGCTTTCAGCAAATCTCCTTTGCATTGTATCTTGTTCTCTGGTATTACTTGAATAAGCAAATAATTTTCAGTATTATTATTATAAATATTATCATTAGGGAAGGTTATGGCAAAATAATATAATGTTGCAGCACCAACAGTGCAGTCCTGACTGTTTCAGTGGACTTTAACTTTGCATGTCTTCTCACTTCAGCCTGTTGTAACATTTCATTTGTAACAGGACTGATGAGTATTCTGACCATTGCATTCTTCATTTTTGTGTTACTGTAACTGCATAACCATATAATATATTTGCAATGGCATTATATTTCAATAGATGGATAATCATTCTCACACTGACATGAATTTGTTCTGTTAATTTTGGCTATGAAATACAGCTTAAGGTTTAAACTTCACTTTCTTGAAAACTACATGTCAGTCTTTCAGTTTATGAGAGAATATACTGTATGTTTTTGTGTTGTGTATGTGTGGTGATTTTGTACAAGTGGGATCTCATATTCAGTGCTTGTGCTGTTGTGTATTGTGCTTTGTGGACATTCATATTACTGAAATGTTCAGGATGCTAATATCTTTACACACACTGTAAATAGTCCACTTGTCTTGACTTTTCTTGCTAGATTTTCAAAATCTGTCCCACTTTACTTGCATTCTAACAGCTAAGGATGTCTTAAACTGATCCACATATTACCATACAAAGTTAAAAAATTTAAAGCAAGCACAAACTGTAACATATATTAGGAACTTGTGAAAAATAAACATTAAAATTCACAGCACAACTCAACTACCAGCATCTACCTTACATGTGTGTATCATCAAGATAAAAGGTGACTGTTGATCCAGTTGATATGCCCGTCTTAAAGCAAATCCTTTTGATCTGACCACTTCTCTGTTTCTTTCATACATCATCAAAGTAACCTAACAGAAAATTTCCCTTCCATCTGATGCATTTATATCAAATTAATTAATTAAGCTAATTGCCCTTACATGTTTTAGAATAATTTTCTAAGTCTGGTTTTGAGTACATTTTTCTTTCTGCCTTATACTATTACTAAATCAATTTATTTTGTCTTTGCATATTATTATTTGTCAACCTTTGAAGGAGTCCAAGACGCTTGTTTGTTTGTCTGAAGGACTTTGGTAATTTTGAGGATTGCTCCATCCTGTACCATGCGCCAAGCAAGATGGGCAGTGTTGTAAGCATCACATAGACCCGAGTGTTCCTGACCCTCAAACTGTAGACCAAGTTCTGACAATGCACCACGAAGACCTTGTGGTCTTCTCTTGTAAAACTTCTGTAAAATATAATAACTGATTAGTACAACTATATATGTTTATTACAGACTACTGATTACAAAATATGAATTTGACTTTAAATGCTATATCAAAAAGGCCTCATCTTTGACACACCTAATCACATAAGAGTATTTAAGTTCATTAATTCACCATGAAAGCTTCAAATTTTGAAACTATGTGACATACAACTGAAGTATTAAGCTACTGTAAGACACGTTATTGTAACATGGATAATGCATTTCTAACAAGTAACCTTCATACATTATACATTGGACATACCCTGTAGGTAGCTCGGAGGTCAATCCACTGACACAGAAATTTGGGCTTGCAGAGCTGCTTCCTCCTACATTCATTGTGCAGACATACAGATAGGTCCCAGTCTGAAACATTTGTATTTCTCTCAGTTGTAACTACACATTACAAATTAAGAAGCTCCTAATTGCATAATTTCACCCATTATCCTATTAAGATGTCTCCTTTAGGTCCAAAAGGGTTCTGATAACAGTTTATTACAATTGCTATTACCTTTTGGGTTTTTGTGTTCCTTTGAGAATTCTAGATGATGGACAAAGTCTTAGAAATCCAGTAAGAGTAATACAAATATCCTTCTTATTACTTTATTCTCAAACACCCTCAACTTCATCTTTATCCACAAAATGACAGTTTCATAACAATACAAAACAAGCTGAAACTGAGAAACCATTTCTTCATGGCACATGGAAACATGTCTTTAAAATGCAATTTAACAGTAATGTTTGTTTTTTGTACTGCATATTTTATTCTTACCTGACCATGTAACAAATGTGCAAATATTTCTTGCATCTGCATCACTGTTTTTCTGATTTGTATGAAATACCAATTTTCTCTTCTTAGATATTTCTTTAATCCAAGAACAGAAAAGGGAAAGACAGGTATGCAATGGCATTCCATTTTCAACATCATCTTGTTTTATTCCAGTTAACTTAACACAGAAATCACTAAGGATAGGATTTTCAACTGGTAGAACATACTGCTGAAATTCTTCTTCTATAATTCCTGTCCTGACATTGAGTAACACAGCAGGAAATTCAATAATTTCAGGTTGTTTTCCATCCCTATTGTTATCCCAACATGTAGATTCAAAATCGATTACAATCAGAAACTGGAATGACTGTAGTGTGAGATGTTTAGCATTTCTGGATCTGTTCACATACACTGTTTCCATGAGGTCCAGCTCCCTGAAAATAATTGTATCATAAAAAGCACTTAACACGGAAACGCTGATCAAGTATGGGATCAGCCTAAAATACACTTTTAGTTTACTCCAGATATCTTAGGACAGCATTAAAAATGGTGAATTCCAAAGGATGTGGAATTTAACACAATAAAAAATATTCTTACCATATATTTAACATTACTTTAATATATACCAATATGTTTAAAATCAAAATCTTTCATGTTTATTCTGAAACAGATTAAAATGGCAAGACTCTGCACGACAGCTTTTCTGTTTCTTCTACAAGTTATATTGCTGTGATTATATACAATTTCAGCCTCATTTTCAGTGGAAATGTGGTTAAAATCATATTTGTCTGCTAGCTTGAGTGTTTAAGTTTCTGTCAAATCTTGCTTGAGAATGCTGGAAAAAGTACCTTAAAATAATCAATAACCTCTTACTACTGCAATACTCGTTACTGATTATAATTATAAAAATGCCTAAACCACCAAATGAGTATAATTTCATAAGTAGGATTTGACGTTATCATGGTGGTGAGTGTGAAAATGGTTTTCTTCTGGGTTGTAGAGCCATATAAGGCCTTGATGATAAGAGGCAGCAAGGACCTCTGAAATGTTAGAAAATTTCTACCAGACTACACAGCACTACAATCCAAAAGACAGCCATCTGTGAACAATTTCTTTCTAAGTTACATTAATTATGACAACCTGTTTAAAAAAATGTGGTTTCAATACCTCTCATTTATGAACAGACCAATAAACACTAAACCATGTCCAAGTTTAATTCTTGTGTTATTTACTGAATAACTCTGTGGATCAGCATCCTTCTTGAGCAGCTAGAAGTCACTTGGTAAAATGAGAAATTCCCCTACATTTATGGAACCTGAAGGTTCATTAACATGTACACAAGAGTCTACTTGATAGCCAAACTGTGTTAGACAAATCCAGCCCACACCCTACTATTCTATTTCCTTAACATCTGTTTTACTGTATCCTCCTGCTGCCAAATGGTATTCTTCCTACAGATTTTTAACCAAAATGTTGTTTGCATTTATATGTCCCATGCATACAATATCGCTGGTCCATCTCATCCTCCCTCATTCCATGATCCATATAAAATTCAGTGACAAGTACAGTAGTATCTATGTAATTTTCTCCATCTACTTACTTCCTGTCCCTTAAGTCTGATGAATCTCCTCAGTATTTTATTCTCATTCACTCTCAAACTACATACTTCCCTTAATGAAAGATGCCATACAAAACAGGTAAATTATAAACATGTATAATTTAATCTTTATGTTTATAAACAGAAGATGGGGAATCCCTGATAGCACATATTCCCAATATTTAATTTCCTTTGAATTTCTTGCTCGAAAGAATTCGAATTTTTAAAAACTTTTTGTTTAAAAAGACTAAAATTGGTACTCATATGGCATTCAATGTGATGGTAAAAACTTTAAGTAAGCTGCCATATCTCATGCCCTATCTAAAGGTACTACGACATTTGCTAGTTGGAACTGAGGAAAAATAGAAGAAGACCTGTCACAAGTGCCTATCTTGCAGGCAAAATTCTACCCAGCATAGTCCTAATTTAGAAACCACAGATAACCTTCATGTTATAAACACTGTTCAAAACAACAATGACATGCTCGGCAAAGCATATGAAATAACATTCACATTACCGTGCCAATTTTTTAGTTAAACTAAATTGCACACTTCCAGAGTTCATAACGACATCATAGCTAATACCATACTGATTTTCGTCTCTACATTGTTCCGGAATGCTGATAATGGGCGTTATGCGTGCGAAGTGCTCTGTTAATTCTATCAAATGTGATATTCTTCGTTCCCGCTCTACAGCACGTTCCGCTAGCCGAAATCAGAACGGAGTGCAAACAAAATATATTCGGTATTTAATATTGACGTATCAGGGATTTTGAATATGGGTGAAATAAGTAGAAGAATAATTATCATGGATTACTTAGTGTGTATTCAAAAGTTATATCTTCAACAGGGATACAGGGGACTTATATGGTGTAATGCATACATGGTAACATCCGTGCAACGTTGACAGAAAAACATCACAATACCTTTTAGTCACAGTAAAAGTCACAAGATGCCAGCGGTAGGATATCTTTGGCCGTAACTTAATATTTCTCTCCACGATGCTAACATGAATAAATTATTCAATTAGATAAATGTAAGGGTGACATGTAAACAACAGTGGAATCCAAAATTGCTTCCATATACTACTGTCATTTTTGTGACTACATTTTTTCTTTGCCAATATTTCAGGCGGTCGTTCTCGTGTCCAAATTTTTGTTTTTGTAAGTTTACTAACTTTTGGGGTTCATTCAGAAACAACGGTGTTACTTTACCTTTCTTCTCGTGATCCGCAACTTCAGTTTTTGCTGGCGTAAACATCCGCGCGAAAAATTTTGAATTAGTTTGTTGTTTATCAGTTTCATGCCGGTTATAATTTTAATTTAATTTATATTTTAATAAACAGGTATAGATTTGTTTGGCTTAAATGGTGACAGAAGTAAAACATTTTCATATGCAGCAACATGTGTTTATGGTGTCTGATAACCTGCTTACGTATGAAGACTTCAATTATTATGTTAAAAAAAATATTTGTATTTCTGGTTCCATTATTTTAAGATGCGGCGTTCTACGGCACCATCACTTCGTCAGACCGGAAAATTAATATCTTCGTCTGATCGTGTTAATTTGGGACAAATAAATTCTAGGACAGCCAACAATGGTAAATTTACTTTTTAGGTAATTCACAGAATTAGGTGTGCCTCAAGATATTTGGTAGATTTTTAAAATAAACAGCAGGCCTATAAAGTTCCAATTGAGTAAAGTAATATGTATGTGAATGCTTTGAATTCTTTGTTGCTTATAACATTAGGTTCAGTTGGGATAAGTATTTTTCTTGTAAATTTTGAGATTAGTCAACACATCAAGCCCCATGTATATCTGCTGTTAAATGATGTCATAACTGATGTCAATACAGACATCACAATGAGAAACATTGCTGCATTCATTTCATTTACATGTCTGTAACTAAACAACAGCCTGGCATAGGGTTACTGAACCCAAACTAATATTTATCACCAGCGTAAATGATTTCTGTACAACTTGTTGACTGCATGGTGGGACAGGAGTGTGGGCAGTCATCATCATAGAGCAGTAGGACAAATGGAGAGGAAGCCGATACAGTAGTATCATGGCTGAGTTTGTCAGTGCTGGAATTTATTCATTTACCTTAGGAAATGCAGATGGGCAACTATAAAACATGGCCTCCTTACATTGGTCTTCTCCCTTCTTTGTCCTCTATTACTGCCATCTTCACCTGTTTGCCCATAAGTGTAATGTTACCAAATCACACATTAGTGATAAAAGTGTCTTCTTGATGATATGAAGTACATAAATAAGCAAACCTATCATGAAACAGAGTGAAAACATTTATTACTCATATAGGCTGATGTTTTGTTTGAAGTGCCCCTTCCTCCATTCCATTAATACATGTCTTCAAAATCAAGGTCATGAAATGACTGCATTTTATTTTAAATGTATAGTTTATGTGTGCAGAAAAAATTGTAATTTTTTTCCCTTGATTTGAATCCCTTTCTCCATAAAGAAAAACTGCTGTTAAAAATGCAATTTTTCTGAATGATTATCATACTGTAATATAGTTCTGACATGTACAGTTTTCTTTTCTGAGAAGTTACTTATTTGTACATAACCTCCAGATCTGTGCTGTTAATGTTTTAGCTGCACCATTTCCCAATGCCATTCGAAGTACAGAGAGTGTTCTTGATCTCCTGAGCGGTAGCAGGATAGCAGATGCTGAAGATGTGTCACTTGATGATGCTTGTTCAGATCATGTGATTCCAAAAACTTCAAGCAGCACAGTACATGTAATGTCACAAGAAGATAGAGCAAGTTCTGTGCGGTTTCTTACAGATGAAAATTTTAATAGTAACCAGATCACTTCTCAGTGTTACAAAGGCAAGAGGTGAGTTATTTATTGTCTTGTGTTTGACTTTGATTAAAATTTCAGGGAACACCTTTTAATTATAGTGACTGTGCATTGTCAAAGTTCAAATATAGTGACTGCACCAGAACTGTTTCACCAACTTAACTTTTTGTAACTTTGTATCTCAATTGCGTCATGTTTGTGTTGATTTGATTACACATATTTATTTTGGCCGTCTATACACAAACTTATTAAAATGAGTTGTTAAAATTATAACATTCACAGTATAAATATAAAATATATAAAATACGTTATGTTATCAGGTTATCGTCTCCCGGTGTCAGACATGATACAACACATTACAACATGACAATAAACAACGAAATATAAACACCAAATCAATCATGAAGATGGATGGATTCACAAATACATAAAATCAATAAATGCAATGCAACTTAGTATATAATAGTTTGTAAAATTAATAGAATTGATAACCTGAAGATGATGTCTTAGTACATCGAAACATGTCGTTTCTAATATGAAGGTGCCAAAATGGAATGTAATATCGTAATATGATAAAAAGAGCACCAAAACATAACATAACGTATTTTATATATTTTATATTTATACTGTGAATGTTATAATTTTAACAACTCATTTTAATAAGTTTGTGTATAGACGGCCAAAATAAATATGTGTAATTTTTGTAACTTTTTTATTGGCACTGTTAATATGTTTTGTTTGCAGGCTGTTTAATGTAGTATGGGGCAAGCAGTCAAAAAAGAAGCACAAAACTTGGGAAGGAGATGGTATCCTTGAAGTTGGAGAAAAATCTGTTATTCTGAAGGTACTTTTTTTAGTACTGTTTGTATCCCTGAAATGAGCTTTTGCCTTCTTACTTTGTGGTATAACATCTTGAGCAGTTGATCAAACAATTTTCTGCTGTGGGACCTGGAGGTTTATCACAGTCAGATTAAATTCCCAGCACTGGACCCTATCCTGAGCCAGATTAATCCACTTTAAATCTTCATAAATTGTTTCCATAAGGTATTTTTAGCTCACTTCAGTTTGAGTAATAAAGATCTTATATACCATATGTGTGTGTCTGGCCTCTTCATTGAATGAACAGATCTTATAGAAATGTGGCATGACACTTGGTATCAGTGTGAGGTTATATCCCATAACTGTCAGGCAGTGAGAATTAATGTTTGTGGAAGTTATGCACAGAAATTGGCCATTAATTTGTTTAATCAGAAATTAATAGTTTCTTCCAACCTCTGTATGCAGATGGAAGCATTTAAAAGAAAGTCCTAATTTCTTCCCAGATTTTCTTGTAATAATATAAAAAATATGGCCAATACTAAATTATGTCTCCTCAGTTTCCTGAGAACATATTAATATTTTTAAGTTGATAATATATTTAATAACATTTGCTTGGACAAAGTTTTTAATTTAAAAACTAGTGATTCAGATGTTGTTCTGCTGTTAATCCTTTTCGTGCTGCAGATGAAAATGTTCCAGAGCAAATGATGGCATTCGAATTCTAACTTAAACTGAGCACTGAAGGGGTCAATAATATTTGTTCTCAAATCAGACATATGTGAAATGTTACATTGCTGCTGTTTTAGGACACAGATGGGAAGATAATTGGTCAGTGTTCTGGAACAAAAACAGCGACACTTGAAGAAGGCAGCAGGTTGTTTGTTGGCAGCAAGGAAGTTG